CTATTTCACAATGTTTTCTTACATAAAGAATATTATAGTATATGAATTTATATGGTTATATGATTACATATTACATAATTATATAATAACATATAGTAGATACTATTCACAACCCGATGCAAGGTACCAGAGTATACAGAGTTAAATTAGTTATCATTCTTACCTTAACAGGAATTTAAAATTCCCAGGATCATAAACGATCATCTATAACCCCTTTCCATCCTTTATAGAAATGAATTCTGGTCTAGATATTTTGATCTAGAAATGTTTTGTTATAGGCCATTTGTTCATTAGTGCAGGATATCTGATAACCCTAGGTGTTCTACTGTTTTCTGGTGAGAAGATATTTTGACTTTGAAGACTTCATATTTTGTTTGTCCAACTCAATGCATTTTAAAATTCAACATTCAAACATATATATGCACATAAATCTACATATGTAAAGTATCTGTGAGTTAGAGAAAATGATGAACTAAGAATGAGTTCTAAGCAATGCTGTTATGATTTGCCAATTTTAAATGCCAGCATTCTTATATCTAGAATGGCAGTGCTTTTCAGTATTTTGAGTACACGTGAAGAATACACCTTTTTGTCCTACATAGAATCCTTTTATATTTTTACAGCAAACATGCAAGACGTTGTCACTGAGAGTATGATTACTAGATTAATGCATTCGGTCTACTCAAAAGTATTGCCTTGGAAAATGCTTAAGATTTTATGCTGTGCTTGCCAAGGTCATGTTTAGTTGGTTCCTATGATAGTCCACATGATTCAAGAACTAGGCTTTGCAGTATGGAGGAGGATGATAATTTAATTCTTGATTCTCCTCAGAAATACAATATTTTTCATTCATAGAGTTTATTACATAGAGTTTTGATTTGGATAAATATGTAAACATTTGAATAAAGATGCAAATTTATTTGAACTTTAGCACAGAAGAGCCAAAGGAAATGAAGCAGAAAACCTCATGAGATAACTGTTACTTCCTGTTTGCAGCATGATGAAATATAATGAAAACAGTCCTCTAAAATACATTGGACCTTGCAACTTGTCCGTACAGGTTTACTTATTTTTTCTAAAGTAGTGACTATCTCATGAACTACTTGAGTTAAAGATCAAGTATTATGTCAGGAAAAGAATAATGAGTTGTCTCTTTTAGACAATGAGACTTTGGAGAAAATTACCCTTAATCCCAGCTTCCAAAAGTGAATTATTAAAATGAGCGCAGTAATAGAATTCCTGAAGATAGTTAAGAACCTGAGCATAGGGCTTCCCGGGTGGCGCGGTGGTTGAGAATCCGCCTGCCGATGCAGGGGACGCGGGTTCGTGCCCCGGTCCGGGAAGATCCCACGTGCCGCGGAGCGGCTGGGCCCGTGAGCCATGGCCGCTGAGCCTGCGCGTCCGGAGCCTGTGCTCCGCGGCGGGAGGGGCCACAGCAGTGAGAGGCCCTAGTACTGCAAAAATAAAAAATAAAAAAAGAACCTGAGCATAAAATCTTTTTAACAATTTAGAAAGAAGGATCTTCGAAGTATATTTAAAAATGATATTTGAATTACTTAAATAGATTTTAAAGTTAATAAAACTGATTCCTTGTTTCAATTTAAGTTAACCAATCTTTACATCCCAGTAGATATTGTGGGTTTACATACAATTTAACAGCCATATGATGTAGGTCCAATCCACATTCCAATAGATCTGCTCCTGGCGCCATTTTTAAATAGATTTGACCCTGAGAGAATTTGATGCCATTTAGTTCAGGCCATTAAAAGGTCTCTGAGAGGTCAGATCAATTCTAGCAGCCACCAAAGAGTTCTCATTCTTGGTTGATTACCTCCCCCCCTCCGTCTGCTCCCACACGCATACACACAAAGCAGTTTGTCCATGGTGTCCACCCTGGACCAGAACAGGATTTCCAGAGAACTGGGTGTAGCCATGTATCTGAGGTTGGAGGTTTGGCTGCAGTGAGGTTCATAATCACTGGAATAAGCAATATAGGCTGACCTGGACTTTTACTATTTCTTGCCAGTTTACCTAAAAGAAAACTTAGCTTTTCATGTAAAATATGTACATATATATTTGTGTGTGTGTGTTTGCCACTGTCTGGAGTTGTTTTGTCTATAAATGCTTCCACTCTTCTAATAGTGTAATGGGTAGGAAGGCTAGAAATTCAAGTCAAGAAAGAATATACAAAATACATGTGAGAGTGTAGGTGGGGATGGGGACCAGAGAATGCTGCTGAGAAAGCAGGATGATGAGAAAGCCTGGAGGTGAGTTGTTTCAGAGGCCAGACTGTAGGGTTGGAATGTGTGGGCGATGCAGGAGAGTTGGCCCACAGTTGGAGACCAGGTAGCACAAGATGTCAGGAATTTGCTGGGAGGGCAGCCTCACCTGACTTTGAAAGCCAGGGAGCCTAGAAACAGAGTATCGCAAAGTGACAGAAGAGTTCCAGTGTGAACTGGTGGGTAGAGGGGAATGTAGCACCAAGAAGTGAAATGAAACGTAATAGTATATAAACTCTTTGTTCATGACTGAGGCCAGTTCAGCCTGATGGAGCAGCAGACGTGTGTCCATACAGTTCACCAGCCTTTAAATAGTTAAACCCTGAGAACGGTGGAAAACGTAGCTCGGGAACTTTACGCAATGGAGGATGTGTTAAGGGACTATGCCCTTTGGAGGGAGGGTATTGCAAAGATGAAAAGACTGATGTTTCTCAGCTACAGTCTTTAAAAGGAGACTGCAGAAATCCGCCATCACAGACCACCAGAGAATCTACTTGGACCCATTCTCGTTACCCAGAAAGCAAACTGGAGGGAGATTTAACTCCAACCATTGAAGAAGTACCCAGCATCCCACCACAATCCTCAGCTCCATGAGATCACCTGCTTCTTCTGCACCATATTTGCTAGCACTCCCTTGAGAACTTTATGGGACCTGCATAGATTCTTGGCGCTCTGTGGCTCCTGTTATTAGGTGATGCTTTGGGGCTGTATATAGGCCCTGAAGCACATGTTGGGCAATGCGCCCAAGGTCACGTTCCAACTGTTCATTTATTATTTCTTCAGTGGTGGGAAATGGGCTGGAAGTCACCTGCAGGTCTCCCTGTGAGAAAGAGCAGCGTTGAGGTTTGTCCCCTTACACCCATAGGTAGGGGTACTGCCACTCACACCTGGGGAAGGCTTTCCTGCCCTCAGACAGTGGCACCAGAGCAGAGAACTTGCAAGAAAGCAAGATTTGGGAGATTGGTTTTTCTTGCCTTGACTGCCTGGACCTGGGCCCATGTTTTATTCTACTGACATTTAATAGTTGAGTATTTCCCAGATCCTGATTATGGAACATTAGAACTAGGACAGTTGAATGAGAAACAGATTCTATGGCAAATAAGTTTGGGAGATGGTGCATTCTCCATCTTTTTCCAGAGTTCCACAATGCACATGCTCCTTTAAGAAGCCATTTTAAAAGGAAACATATTTCACTTCATCTAACTTACTGTGGCCCCAAATTCATTTGACTTTAGACTTCATTTCCCCTGAATATCTATTATCATTCCTTGGAACTCAGTATTAAAAGGATCAGGTTCTTGGAAACAGATGCTAAGAGAAGACATGTACTAATAGGGGAAGGATAAAACCAAATTTGGCCCACCTTACCAGTTTGAGCTAAGAATTCTTCATATGCCTCCGGTGGCCTGCTTCTGTTAGCAGGGAACTTGTTCTACGAGTGAAGCCTATGAAAACAACTAGAAGATGCCCTGGAAGGTCTGTATTTCTTGTATTCAAATCCTTAAGATTAGTTGCTTAGTTTTTTAATCAATTTGAAGAGTAATTAATTTAATCTGATTGTAAGCAAACCAATTTTATTTAGAAACTATTTTTGAGGAAGGACAGTTCTTTTAAATTTAAAAAATACATTTGATAAAGACACCCAGGTTATCAAGTTAATTTTGACTTGAATCACCTATGTATAATATAGTAATTATATATAAATGATTGCTTTTTTAAAAATTTATTTTTTATTGAAGTATGTTTAATTTACAATGTTATATTAGTTACAGGTGTACAGCAAAGTGATTCACTTAAATAAATAAATAAATAAATAAATAAATATATATATACACACACACACATACATACACACACACACACACACACATACTCTTTTTCAGATTCTTTCCCATACAGGTTATTACAAAATATTGAGTATAGTTCCCAGTGCTATACAGTAGGTCCTTGTTGTTTATTTTATATATAGTAGTGTGTATCTGTTGCTCCCAAATTCCTAATTTATCCCTCCCCCCCTTTCCCCTTTGGTAACCATAGTTTGTTTTCTATGTGTGTGAGTCTGTTTCTGTTTTGTAAATAAGTTCATTTGTGTCATTTTTTAAGATTCCACATGTAAGTGATGTCATATGATATTTGTCTTGGTCTGACTTACTTCGCTTAGTATGATCACCTCTAGGTGCATCCATGTTGCTGCAGATGGTATTATTTCATTCTTTTATAGCTGAGTAGTATTCTGTTATTTGTATATACCACATCTTCATTGTGCATTCGTCTGTCAATGGACACTTAACGTTACTTCCATGTCTTGGCTATTGTAAATAGTACTGCAGTGAACATGCATCTTTTCGAATTATGGTTTTCTCCGGATATATGCCCAGGAGTGGGATTGCTGGATCATATAGTAGCTCTAGTTTTAGTTTTTTAAGAAACAATTGCTTTAAGAAGATAGTCCTCCTCAGATTTTGTTGGCTATGTTTACTCAGCCAATTTTTTAGCAACCCAGTGATAACCTTTAAGCACAATTCCTGTTATATCTGAATCAATGACATGTCTGAATAGAAAGCATGAATATTTTTAAAGGTTCCCAAAACATTCTTTGCTCCCAGGAGTGAAGTCATTTGAAAACACTGTTAGTGGACCTTCTCTCCCAAATCTTTTCCCCTGAAAGTTGAAAAAAAGATTTCTGCTTAATTTATTAATATGACTTGTTTTCATCCACAGAGGCCAGCAAGCTTGTTATGTCCTACGTAGCAGCTGTTTGTGGAAAAGGAGCAGAAGTTAATCAAGTCAAAGAACAGCTTTTACAGTCCAACCCAGTCCTGGAAGGTAGGATTTTCTGTGTACCTTGGGTCAGTATGACTGGAACGGTAAATCCAGTTTTCCGGGCACTTCTGACACCTGGTGTGCTGGGAGGTGGGCTGGGAGGGGGAGAGTCAGGCCCAGACCTGCTGAGCAAAAGGTAGCGGCATCCTAGGAACTCCTGGCTTCACGCACTTGAAGGAGGGAACGCTTTACTCGTGTAAAAGGAGCTCTCCCACTTGCTATCATTTTTCTCCCTTTTAATTTTTATTTGAATTACTTACATTTTGCTTAATAATAATCAACTGATATTTGCATTTGACTTGACAGCTGGGAGAAACTTGGTGGAAAAGAGCAATGTGAGGGCAGTGCTATTTTATCATTCAGGATAACATCCGTGGCTGGTGATTTCTGTTGTCAGGGAAACCAAGGCTATGCCAGAGAAATATTTAAGGACCAGTTTTCTCAGGGTTACAAAAAGCCTAAACCTGACTTTAGAGCTCAAATTCTGTGGTTGGCCATCTGTGTCTGTTAGTCAGCTTGGGCTGCCATAACAAAGTACCATAGAGTGGGTGGCTTAAACAACAGAAATCTATTTTCTCACACTTCTGGAGGCTCCGAAGTCTAAGATCACCTGCTGGCAAGGTAGGTTTTCTTCTGAAGCCTTGGCTTGTAGGCAGCTGCCATCTTGCTATGTGCTCACATGACCTCTTCTTTGTGTGTGTATATGGGAGGGGGAGGGGGGATGATGGGCAGGTGGGCGCTGGCTCCTGGCCTCATCTAACTACCTCCCAGAGGCCCCATCTCCAAATACCATTACATTGGGGAGTTAGAGCTTCAAAATATGAATTGGGCGGTGGGGTCGGGTAGGGACACAAACATTTAGTTCATAATACCATCAGAAAACAAAGCCGGAGAGAAGTTCCCTTCTGCCATGGAGGTTGGCGTAAACCATCAGTATAAACCATCCTTATGTTGGAAACAGTAACTCAAAGCCTCTTCCTATTGCTGGAAAGCCCTTTGCCTTGCTTTATATTGTAAGCACGCCAGTGTTGTCATTTAACACAGTTGTTGGGGTGGAGTAGGTTTCTCAACCTTGGTACTGTTGACATTGTGGACTGGATAAGTCTTTGCTGTGTGTCCTGTGCAGTGTAGGATGTTTAGCAGTATCCCTGGCCTCTAACCACTGGGTGCCAATAGCACCCCTGCCTCTAGTTGTTACCATTGAAAATGTCTCCAGACAATGCCAGATGTCCCCTGAGGGGATCAAGACCACCTTGATCAGAATCTCTGGTCTAGAAGAGTAGTTTGGTTCAGCCCTTTGTTCGAAGTCATGGAAGGTCAAGATTTAACATGGATTAAAGCAGAACTGCTCTGTGGGGGGAGACCCCCCTCTGCCGCCCCAGTATGGAGGAACAGAACTCTGCCCATTGTCTTTGTTACTCAGGCCTAGTCCCTCCTTCCACTTTATTACAAGGAGGCACCATGCATCTTTATCCTCCAGACAGTGAAATAAAACTCATGAGAATACTTTGCTTGTGAGAAGCAAAGGCCAGAACACCTGTTACATTGTTATTGCCCTTTCTTCCCCTTCAGGACCTAACAAATAAAGAAGCTATTGTAGAAAGTGTTTTATTTTTATCTTACTATCCCGGTCTTTTACTTTTTGCTTACTGTCTTTTGCTTTTAGTTAGGACACTATACATGTGTTATATTTCTATAGATGCTTATTTTCAGAATGCTGTGATCTAAAGGAGAAACACTGTGGAATGCTATAGCTTGCATCTGTGATTAGAATCTGGCCCTTTATTCAATGGTATTTGAAACTAGGCCCCAGTGCAGGAACTGGAAGAAATGTCTACTGTGGGCATGTATTATCTTTTGTGGGAATGCTTTACTTTTTAACTGGAGCTGCTACTGTAAATGAACATTTAGAACAATGAACTTAAAAAAAACAATTGAGGAATGTGTCTCAAGTGTTCTATAATGGAACACTTGTTTTTGATTCTGTGGCTCACAGTAAAAGACTTTAGTGTTTAGAGCTGTGTTTAGTAATGTGCAACTCAGATTTGTTTGATGAAAAGATGGTTTATGGCTTGCAAATGGCACCCTGAATAAAGTTTTTTTGAAGCAATTCCTTCACTTGCCCTTGACCTTCAAGCCACAATAAACTCTCCTTTATGTGTCAGCGTCTCGTGCTGGACTTTGGGGCTGTACAAATTAGTTAATTTGGCATCCCTGCGTGTTGACACCCACCACAAAGATCTAGCCTGTGAAAACACGAAAAATGTCATGGTCTTCATGATGACTAGGTCAACACTCACCATTATCAAGGTTGCATTTATTAAAATCCTTTAGCTGGTGGTGGACGTAGGATAAGGATGTGAACCTCTTCAGCATCCTTTTTTGAGTGTTTCCCATGTGCAGGTTTCCTTACTTAATATAACATCTCAGCTTATTTTCTGTTGAAGAGAGAATTTGGTGTCAGGGACCTACGAAACCATACCCATTCCAAGTGGAATCTCTGAATCAAAGAACTTGCCCTGTGTTGACTTTAAATTTTGTCTTAACTAGCAGGAGGCAACTATTTTTTTTTTTTTTTTACAATCAAAAATATAAAAATACTAGCTAACGTGAAATATAACACAGCAGGTTTGGCTACTGAATATCCACAGTGAGCGTTACACATCTTGATCAGGTGATTGCTTTCAAAACTTGGACCAGCTTTTAGCCATTGTTAATCATGTGAGCTCTTGTTAGGCTAATCTTAATTTAATGAAGTTGTGGCGGCTTCCAGGGATTTGATGCCCGACCTCTTAATTTAAAGATTCATTTCTGTTTGCCACATCATCGTGCATCGCTCTGCAGTCCTTGCTGCTGCCGTGTGGCCCACAGATCCCGGTAACAGCCTCGGGGTGGGGTGGGAGGGTATTGGTAGAGAAGCAGAATTTCATGCCCATCCCTTGACTCATTGAACCAGTGTGCACTTGAACAAGATCCTCAGGTGATAGGTTTACACGTTAAAGTTTGAGGTGCACTGCTAGGCTTCAGAGCATCAAACAGGGATCCCCTCTTCTTATACGACACATTTATTCCACTTACATCCTCTACTACCAAGGCCCAGATTAATTTGCTCCTATCTCGTGCGCAAGCTTGATGAAGCAGTCATTTTACCTCATGACACTGAAATACCTTTGTCAAACAGGAGCATTCTGTGCCTGGGGCAGTGTCATCCTGTGGTTCTTATGTGCTCTCATTTGAAAGGGCATCCTGTGGGAGATTCTAGCTCCTCGAAGCAGCTAAGATTGGGACAAACTTGGATTTTTGCATTGTGGGCTGATTTTTTTTTTTTTTCTGGAAAGTTTCACTTAGGTCTGATGGACATAAACTAATGAAACTATATGGTATTTTTAGCCTATTGGAAATGATGTTTCCAAGTCTCTTACTCTTTCTTTATTTCAGTTATATATTTAATCACGTTTAAATACCTTTTATTTCGAACTTAAACAATTTAAAGTTTCTCATGCCTTTTTCCACCTGAAAACCTCATCAATTGAGTTTCATAAAACCTTTGCTAATGTTAAGTAGTCATCTCTAAAATAACCTTATTCATTGTTAATAACGGTAGAAGAGCACAGAAGCCCTGCTTGCTCGCCATTCAGCTGACTACTATCAAAACAGTTAAAATGTGTTGAATTAGACAGGATTAAGTTTACAGTAGTACTTGAAAAAAATTCTGTGAATCATAGGCATGACTCTTTCTGTGAACTTATAAAAAGACATGGAAGCTTTAGCAGCTTATTAAGACTCGTGTTAAGTAGTTTCTATGGAAATTTTCTAGACAGAAATGTCATTGCTACAAGTTGCATTTCTAGGATTTATGGATGTCAGATATTACATTTGTTTTATTTTTTGGCTTGAAATTATTTTTCTGTCACTTGACCACACATCTGTTTCTTTCCTACCAGCATTTGGAAATGCCAAGACTGTAAGGAATGACAACTCCTCTAGATTTGTAAGTATTTGTATAAGCATAAGTGTTAACACTAATATTTATCTCATGTGTGTTTAAACAACCAGTAGATGTTTAATATTTCTTAATACACACATTTAAAAAATAAGAAACACCATATTGAGACATAAGCTAAAAGGACTATTCTGCTTTCTGGAATTTTCCTTTTTAGTTCTTCTTGGAGTGACAAGCTATCTTTTTTTCATGTTTTCTTGTCATCTATCATAAAATTCCATGAGCAATTTCAGTGAGGCTGTTTAGAGTAACTCTTTACTAATGTGAGTTTTGATATTTAGAAATCAATTAAGACTCAGAAATTCCATAGAAAGAAGGGTAAACTAGGTGTCAAGTTTGTATACTCTACAGCTCTTGTCCGTTCTTCAGTGGGACCAGAAAGGATGGAGGTGTATTCTAAAACTTTATAGAGGTAAAATTAATAAGTTTGGCTGCTAATGGGGGGTGTGGGGAGGACTGAATAGTAAAACCTGAAGCTAATTGATGTTTTGAGTCGGGCTGAGTTGGAAAATGCTAATTCCCATAGTGGAAACCTTTCCAGCCTCATCTCCCACCTCTGCGGTGTACACTCTGGCACATCAGCCCCTGGGTCTCCCCAGCTGTGCTGCCTTCTTTCCTGCCTCTGGTCTTGACAGGGACACACACTGCCTGGAGACAGCTGGGGGAAATATGGTGAGTGTGATGGTGGCATTTTGAAATTGATGGCTTTTTTCTATAGTTGAGCCAGTTTTATAAATTTCATAATAAAAGATCGTTTACTTTATAAGCTGTCTTCTCATATACATTACTTGGGACCATTATTGATGATCGTCTGTGCCTCGCTGCCAGACACCCTTCCTGCATCCCCACACCTCCACTCCCCGGCTTCTTTTAGCCCCCTTTCTGCTTTTTTCTCATTGGCGTTATCCTGTGCTTAAGGCATGCAAATAACCTCAGGTGGAGATCGTTTTGATAGATTGGAAAGTGGAAGGCTAAGGTTCCTAATTCCAAGGCAGTGAATTTTTTCCATTGGATTAGCCCCTTAAGTTGTTAAAACTGATGTGAGCCATGCCTTTTCCTGTTGTGGTAACATGACTAATCTCATTACATAAATAGAATTAGACGCAAAGTGTGGGCAGATAGAAGTAATTCCAATAGATCAAGCTTCTTTATAGGATAGAGATTTTATTTTTGCTCTTGGCAAATCTCATATACACACGCTTTAAAAAAAATACTTGCGAATATATTTAGTCTGTAGGCCGTAAAAATACAGAAAACCGTATTGCTTAAAGAGTCACTGGTACTTAGAGACATCGGAAAATCTAGCGAAAGGCTTGGCAGGTGTTTTGGCTTGTTAAGTAACTTCAGAGAAATCCTATCATAACACGGGTATTAGGATATGAGATTAATACTTGATTATAGGCTAAATCATTTCATGCCCAGTTTTTAGTAATTTCTCTGCTTTGTGGGTGCGACTTTGACCAGTAGTATACTCAAGTCTATGTTATAATATTATAGTAGGACTCTACTATATTTAAAATTACTACTGTATATATAACAGAGGTTTATGACTCCAGGGAAATTACATTTCCTTCAGCTGTGTCTGACAGGTTAACTCCGAATAAATTTTTTGATCTCTTTGCTGAGAAACCTGGGAGACCCTGCACCTCATCGTAGCTGACAGTGTGGACCACTGTTCCCATGGAGGTGCCTCACAGTGACCCTCACTCCAGCACTTTAACTTGGCATATTGAGCTTCTAGTAAGAGAGGCTCATTGCTTTGGGGAAAAAAGAAAAAACAACAGTTTAAGGCTTCGAAAATCACTGTTCTCGACTAAGGACTTTGGAGGGGGATTTTGTTGAGCATTAGCGGTGTGCCAGGAGCTGAGTGGGGCACTGGAGAGTGTGGGAGAGAGCGCTCTAGGGTCTGGAAAATCTCATTACCACTCCTCTTATTCAGTAAGAATAGAAACACACACACAATTCATTCTTTTGTTTGAAACCTCCGGGTTTTCTTTTAAACATAGTTAAACTTAGGTCTCCCTGCGTATCCTCTTGCAGCCTGCAGTCTTTTCCCCACCAGTAGCCGGAGTGATCTTTACACGCTGCCGTCCCCTGCCGGCTGACAGCCTCTGCGGTCCCCTTGCACCTAAAATATAGCCCGGGCTCCCCCAAGCCTCCCCACGCAAGGTGGGCCGACACAGCCTTCCCCGGCTCCCTGGGCCTCAGTCACACAGGCCTTTGTGCCCGGCAGGTGTGCCAAGTGCTTCCTGGACTTGGGCCTTTGCTGTTGCCGGTCCTTCTACACCATGCATTCTGTCCCCAGATCTTTGTATGGCTGGCGTCTCGTATCATTTAGGTCTTATCTCAGATGTCATTTCCATGATGCCGTCTGGCGACTCTGTGACTTCATCCCATTTTCATTATTTTAGGCATTCAACAGTCTCTGGAGTTATGTGCTCCCTTCCCCCGTTTACATCATCATTGGCCCTGGAGAGTAGGCGC